ATCGTGATTTTCTTGTCCTGTACTTTTCATTTACATCAGTAGTTCTTTATTGCCTTCTGAAGAAATGAGTTGCATTAGAAACTTCACCACTGTTAAATATATTTATTTAAACAGCGGAAAAAAGTTTTTGAGGAACACAGTAAAACTCTACGCCTCATCAATAGCAGCTGAAATGCAAAGTTCAAGCAACTCCTACATCATGTCCCTAGTTTCAGTTATAGTCAGTTCTTCATTTTCTTACCAAGCAACCTCAATTTCTTCATTTTAATTTGATTTTCTATCACTTCCATTTTCGTGTGAAGTTCCAGGGTATCCTTTACCAACATTACAGATAAATGCCTAGCCCTTTTAGCCTTCTCATTTAGACAATTAATTCTGATTCAGAGCTTACAATTCCTTTCCAAAGGTTGATATTTGATCCTCCAACTTTGGCACAAAAAGTTCCTGTGCCTGATATTTCACATTAATCCCTTCTCCTAATTCTCTAATCATCTCAAATGCCACATGAGATGGACCCTCAGAGGATAAATTCACTGCTAACATTCCTGCCTGCTTGTGAGTCATCACAAGTTAGGGAATAAGAAACTGTAATTGAAAAATGCTTCTCTGCAACTTCTTCCCCTGAAACATTTTGCTTGGTCAACAAATGATGCTCAGGGGATTTCTGTCTTCTTAACATCATCTTCCATGCCAGCAATAAAAGACTATTGAATCAGAAAGCTGAGGTAAAGCCTATTTTAAGAAAAAGAAGAAAAAACAAGCATAGAAATTCCTAGGAAAGCAAACTCGTATTTCTCAAGCTATCAGAGTTTAATTCTTCTTATTATAGCATTCTACATTGGCACCTAGATGTCTCACCTGAGATTTGGACCTCGTTCTGCCATGTGCTGCATGAAAACATGGTGAAAAAACAGTCCCTTCTCTTAAGAGTTTAAAACCTATATAAGCCCAATACAATAGAAAGTACGCAGAGTAAATGCATTTATATAGAGTTTCCCTGCTCTTGGTTTAGGCAATATAGTTGAGGTAATTTCTGATGTATCTCAAGATCGCCACTACCCCTTTTGCCAGTAGCGACAAGTCAGGAAGGAAACCAACATCAAAGGAAGGTGCAAAGGTTGCATCAGAAATTACACTCAAGTCAGGAGCAAGGTGAGGGTTAAAACAAAGACCTCACCAATTCCATAAACAATACCCTGTTACCCATCCTCCTTTTGGATTCTGCTACCTTTGCTCAGAATAAACTTTGCCAGCGCAAAGCTGATTTGTATGGGACAACACCACAATGCATTATTGAGCAGTGGCATAAAGACAGAAGAATCTGTCCAGCCTATGTTGTCACACAGCTGTTGTTCTAAGCATCGTCTTTCTCTGTTGTCCTCAGCCTTGATATTCATTCAAACTTTTGATAAAATACCAGCACTGAGACATGAGTGATTTGTCATCTTTATACCCTGTAAATGCAGCATAAAAATAAGTTAGACTGATTGAGATTACACTGTTGAGGCAAAACAAAATAGGGATCAAATCCAAACTGACAGCTACATGAATTTTATTAGTTTGAAGAGAAAAATTTATGAAAAAACTCTAATCCAAAAACCAATAAAGCACTTTGCCAAATATGATGTTATCTGAGACTCGTCATATTAAAAAAAGTTCTATTAAATCCCCCACTTTCAAGTTCAGCATCAAAAACACTCAGTTTAAATGATATTTCTGTCATTTTTTTTTCTTAACCTTCATGAAAAATTTACTACACCATGCTTAGAATTACTTGAATAATACATATCTTGTTTTAAATTCAAGTTATTACATGCACTTGTAAAATGCTATTTGATTTGATTTTTCCTCCCACACCTTAAGCAAAATATGTGACAATTTTGTTTTCTCTTGGGTAGCATGTATACGAGCGAACCCATTCCTATGGGATTTTCAATTGCCAGCTAATCCAAAGCTATTTCTTTTAAAATTGCATGCAATGAAGTTAATGGACTCAAGGGGCTTTTTTTTTTCCCTCTCCCAGTGTGTGCTTTTTTTGTTGTTGTTTGGGTGTTTTGGTTTTGTTTGGGTTTTGGGGGTTTTTTAATAAGAAGGTCCAAAACATATTTTCTCTTTTCTAGACCTCACACAAAAAAATTCACTGAGAAGACCACAGCAGCATGACTAGCAACCTCCACTACCATAAAGGCTCTAGTCTTGCAAGATGACCCATACTAATAGATCTCTGATCTTTTTCAGAGCCTCTTCGCTTCTATCAGAATTTCATACAAGTCCAATGAAATTTATAATATATTTTACAGAGTTATAAAACTTACTGTTAAATTAAAATAAAAAATCTCCCAATTAAATATGCATCGCTGCTACTTCGTACCTCCCACCACTTCACTCCTCTCCTTTTCTCGTATGGACTTGTTCTCAGAACAAGTTCGCTTTATCTTTGCCTCTTTCCAAGAATTTTACATCTCCTTTCTCCTAACTAAAACCTAGAATTGATTCTGGTTCTGATATGCTTGACTCAGGGGGCTTTTGAGAAATAATACGGTTTTCATCCCCGTGTTGGAGAGGTGACATCAATGATGGCCCTGGTTCTAAACAGCAAAGTAGGTTTCATCCTTTTGATGCCCAAAATATCACAAGGTCAAAATGATCTGGAAGAGAGGGGGGGGAAGTTTCTCATCTCTACTTGAAGCAGTTCTGTTCAATTCCTTAACTCTTAATGAACCCCACAGAAAAATGTGAGCATACAAATGTGTTCTGACTGATTAAAAAGAGGATATCCCAAGAGTAGCTAATTTAATATTAGATCAAATGAACTGGAGTTGAAATTACCATGTTTTTGTTGACTATTTTAACATATTCAGGGAAGGCATAGGGATCTTCACATATTTCTGAGTCTCTTTGTAGTATCATTCTTCATATGTTACACCAGTCAGTGTGGAATACAAGGACTTGAAGGGACGAGGGGGTGGGAGAAGTTGTGGAGTGGATTACTGATGTACCCCAGAGAAGTTTATTAAAGTGATAAAAGAAAAGTCCTATCATAATTCATTTTCTAGGTTTTTTTTCTGCACTGTTAAACTGTGGGAACCTCTAACAATAAAGCTATCTAGAGGACTTGTTGCTTTCATAAGAATTAGTATCTCAGCTTAATGTACAACTGAATTGTTAGAGAAGCCACAGTGCTCTTCCTCCTCCACATTCCCTATGTGATCTCTAATAAATAAAAATCTTGTCCAAGGCTCGCGGGAATATTTTCTGGCAAATTTCTGGCAAATGAAGAAATCATTACAAGAAAATGCAACTCTGCTTTTCAACTTAGCACTGTATTTTTCTTTCAGAGCAGTAGCAATGCTTCCTCATGTTAGTTAGGCCAACAGATTTTTTTATAGCAAGATGGGAGAGATCAGGAACAATTTTATTAGAATTTGAGTCAACAGTGCTTGGGATGTACTTCAATGGCACAACTAGTCCGTGTGCCGAGCCACTCTGGTTCACTTCAACAAACTTATTTTTAGAGCATCTCATCAAGTGCCTATGGCTTTGGATGTAAGCTAGAAATGTGTGGTTTCAGTTTAATTCTGTCTGGAACCCAACCATTTCACAGCTGGCCATCCTCATTTCTCATACGTCTCTTCCTAAATTGATAAACAAAATTCTTTTACATTTTACTAAGAAAAAAACATCCTAAATCCATGCACTATGGTTCCAGGAGAACAGAAATAGTGAGGACCAAACACCACAGTTATTTTACTCTCAGCGCCCTCACAAGATCTCAGTCATCCAAGACTAACATAGCAAATAAGTGTTATGCATGGATGCAGTGCCAACTGTGGCTGAAGGTAATGGAAATGGATATTTAAAAAAAAAAAAAATGTGTGTTAAGCAACTGAAAAGAACAGAGATATATTTACTTCTAGCTCTTTTCTAGAAGGTTGAAAGAAGATGGCCTAAAATCTATGATGCAGTGGTGGTTCAAGGAAAAGAACAACATCTACAGAGTAACTAGGGAGACTGGACTCACTGTGGTAGATAAAAAAACAATTCCAAAAAAAGTGATATCTGTGGAGGACAGCCATGAATCTGTTGACAGACTAGTTCTCATCTTTGTCACACCAGCAGACATTCCCAAAACTGCTTCCCAAAAACTACACAGGTTTATCCTTCACCACTCTACCAGGAAAAGGAAGGTGAGCAGTCAATCAAATCAGAGATGGTCAGTTGCTTTTGCTCAGAGACAAGTGATCAGTAAACTGAAGGTAGCTGGCGGAAGATAAAGTTGAAAGAAGCGTTTCCTTTTTAGGCCCTACCATCACCAGTCATGAGCCAACACGCAGAGGAATTGCTGAGGAGAAAGCAGACAGTTAACTGGGGCACCCAGCAGACACATGTCAGTCTTTGCACACTGTTAGAAGAGAGGACAACTAAACATGAATAGCAAGTGTGATAACATATTCCTCTAATCTAAAAAACAACAAAGAGCATAAGAAAATACAAATCATAGGCAATGATAGACAAACCTTTCCACGTGCAATTGAAACTGAAAGGGAAAAATTCAGGAACTGATATCAGGCCTACACCAAATACAGCTGATTTTTGAGAACACAGTGTGAGAGAACATTGAGGCTAAATGAGAGACCTGCAGTGCTGGAGAGGAGAGTTACATACTGAGGTACAAAAATAGTTTAGGAAAAGAAATAAGTAATAATTAAAAAAAATAAATTGATGTAATGATAAACTGTACTAAAAAAAAGTCGGAGGTTATGACTTCAGAATTACAAAGCATTACAAAGCACACAGCTCTAGACAGACCTGTGAGCTGTAAAACAGTTGAGAGTTTATTGTAGACTGTTAAGGGCCAAATGCTCAAAGAAAGAACATGCAATCTTTGGCATGACAGAAACACCAGCCTAAAAACGTATCTTCTTTCTAGTGTTAATCCAATTTCATCTCACATCATCAGGGTGTGGTGCAACCTGCAAACACATCAAACATACGCTTATATGGCTGGTACAGGTAAGGGAGGAACAACCAATAACCACAAATAATATTGGAACAGTCATGGCTGAGTTTTGTTTGCTCTGGTTGGAACATGGAGCAACATCTTCCACTATTTGTGCCTTCTCCACAGCTCACTGAAATCAGAGATTACCACTATTTCATTGTGTTTGGTTTTTAGCTCTATGTGAATCTTCAACCATTACAATTACCAATACACCATTCTTGTTTATAAATCCCAAATAATGTTTAGGCTTGCTTTTTTTTTTTCCCTTAACAACATTCTAATATTCACCAGTACAATTTGGACTCTGTAACAGACAGATTAAGCTTCTGAGGACTGTGGCATGGCCAAATACGCCCCCTGCCCCCTTCTTACTCATATTCTTGTTTTTATTTGAAAAGTATGACACTTAGCACTTGTTCTTATCTCCTGGCCCAGATAATTTCTCCTAGATGATTTCTACAAAGTATGAAGAACATTTTGAATTTCATCTGACAATGTAGTATGCTTACTTATTCTCTGCCATTCTCATTCAGATCTTTAGAAAAATTATCTTAGGAGCTACACTTTTTTCCATTTTTCTAGCTTTACAGAAACCCCTTTATACCATTCTGCATATGATTTTTCAAACAGTTAAAAGCAACTCACCTTTCCCATGGCAATTTCATTTGAACCATATTTTAGTTCTCTGTTCAGAATAACACCCAGGTCAGAAGGGTGGGGTTTTTTACCTCCTTTTCCAAACCAATGTGATAGAGCTAGGAATCATGGATTAAGGGTGTTCTGAAAGAACTGCTTTCTCTCACGGTTTCTTCCACCCCCACAGGAAGGAAGAGAACAAGGAGTTTTGGATTATTAGTTATGCTTAAGATGTCAGAGAAGAGAGTCCAATACAGCAAGCATTCAAGGGAAAGTAGACTAAGAATGAAGACAAACGTTTCATGAAGGACCAAAATAACAAGAGACAGTAACACAAAGCACTCAGATTGAAAAGCCAGGGGCATATGGGGCACTTACTGGGTCAATGATTTCTGGATGAAGCAACCCAGATGGGTTAACGAAACCATTTAGTAAGACACACAGAGAGTATAGGGCATACAAACAAAGGGTTACTTTCAATTTCTGCCATCTTCCTGTTCGCTAACAGCGAAGTGGCAAGTGGAACATATTGGATGCAATAAGCCTGCCAGGCTCAGTAGACTATCTAGACTACAATCACCAAAAGAAAGATAAGAAAACAAGAGCATCACTGCTAGCAAGGGAGCAGGCAAAGCACAAAACCTCCACACAACAACAGAATGCAAGTGGAAATAATCCAGGACATTTTCATGGAAAACGAGAAATGAGTTGCATTCAACTGCCATATTGACCATACCTTAGCAAATGTCTTGCAGGTAAATCACTCTATTTTGAAAAAGCTGAATTAAGCTGAATGTTTAAACAAGGGATAATAGTGTCACACAGCCATTGGAAAAAGATGCGATGATGATTTCCAAACCAGGCAGGTCAGTGGGTTATGTATAGATTTCCAGAGAATAAATGTGATCTCATCCCCCAAGAGGTACAGGTATAGGCCTGATGAATAATTAGAACTGTGGGAATCTGAGTTTACAATGGCATTTGAACCAGATGGTATTGGCAGATACCGCCAAAGAAAATCTTCTGCACACTATGAAGGCTCTGAATTCAGAACAAATGTCATTCACTTACACAGGGAAAATAACAGCATCGATCAGCTGAAGTACTCATCAACCCACAAAGAATATGCAGCTCAAGACATACATGATAGCATGATCTCCAATAAATGATGGGGAGGTCACAAAAATTCTTTAAGTAGCAGCAGCAATGCCCCAATAAAAAAACAAATCAAAGGGGGATGATGGCAAACCCAGACAAGCATGTGGCCAGGATTTTGATGGATTAAGAATAGGCTATAACTGGATGAAATTTTTGAGAGATAATGTATTATTTTGATTGCAGTAATCAGTAACAGAGACAGAAAACTGAAACAGTGAATGTAAATATTACATTTGGCCAGTTACTACAGGCTTTGGTGCCCCTGTTTAGAAATAATGGCACTACTGATAAAATTTATCAAAAGCAGACTAGGAAGATATAGGGAAAAAGAAGAGATTGCTGGAGATCTAACAGACTTCACCTGACCAGGGAAGCACCATGTCTACAACCAGTGATCAAAGAACTGAACAGAGCTATTCGATTATTATGGCAAACAGCTACCAGTGGGGAAAGCCCATGCAGCTAGAGAAGAACCAAGAGTTTCTCACACTATATACTCCAACGATACATCTGACTAGGGTGAGAGAAGGCATGGAGAAATTACACTCCTGAATACAGAAGCATAGGGGTGGGGGAATTCCAAAGTACTTTCTACAGTCATCTATTTTAAATCATTGAGGCATTGTGTCCCACTGTTTGCTTAAATCAAATTATTATTAGTGACAGACTATTGAGGTGGGTGCCTTGGCCTCTAGCAACTATCTTTTTCAGTAGATCATCAACAGAGAACGCTTTTTCAAATTTTTAAAAAACCTCCCTGTATGGGGGTTGAACCCTCCCTCTTTTTCCTCCTTTCACTAAGCGTGGAGCATGATGAATTTAATGCTCTGCAGCAGGAGCAAAGGCACACTGCTCTTCTCTATAGAGCAGGACTTAGCTCATGGTAAGTATAAGTAACCTTACCTACTCTCTCCAAGAAAATAACTCTCCTATTTTATGGGAATAATAAACATAATAAGCCTAACAACAGGTTAAAAAAAAAAAAAAAAGAAGATTAAATACAGCAAGTATCAAAATGGTAGCATTCAGTATTGAACAAAGCCAAAAAATCATCACAGAGTTACCATTAAAACATACAACTATTTTGACTTTGGCAGGACTTGCCTAATGCTTTAGGTTTTTATGGCATTCAAGAAGCTATAACATGCTAAATTCAGTTGTAAAGTTGTAATTCGTTTAGGCTTCTAAATGGGAGATTGAATGTGTTTAGCTATTGTGAATAGTAGGGCACACAGGCCACAACTGGCAGCGTGATTTGGGAATCTTTTGGATAGAAAGGCAACGGCTGAACCCAGTGTGCTCGACTCTCCTGACAGATGCAAGGCCCCTTAGAAAATAATAGATTATAACAGCATGCACACTGTGAAAAGTGTATTCTCTAGTGTAACTGCACTAAGGCAAAAGAGTTACATCAGGGATTAATTTGGCATTTACTCTTCAGATGTTTTTTTCTGTGCTTATAGCTATTACTGTTCTTTTGGCACAAACCCAGATTAGCCATTAGTGTGTGGATTGCCACTACTCTGCCAAGCTTTTTGAACATAAACAAAAAATAAAAGCCACTTTGCTAAGATGACAATAAACATTTAAAGCCCAATAATACCTCTTTGTAACTTTGGTAACAGTAAAAATATGGAGCCAGCTTTCATGTACAAACATGGAAAATGGGCTAAAATCATTAAGGCATTAGAGACTTTAAACAATTAAAATTGTCATTTTATATTTGCTGCAATAAAAATAGCTATTTTACTTAGAGTAATTACCATCAGTGATTGGTGTTATTATATATGCTTATTAAAATGTTTATTTCTGTGAAGGAAAGATTAATTGAAAAGTGGCACAAGAAAGTGAAGAATAAAGAGTAGGGCTTTAGCAATATTTTACTTCATGGGACACCAAAAGGGACCCTTAACCTATTTTTAATTTGATTTCCTGAGAAGTGTCTTAATCTAAACTGTGTCTGTCTTGCTATTGCTTTGATTTAATTAGCCGGAAGAACTATTATGTATTTCCATTTTATCTTCCACTTCACAGTGGAACAACCCAAATCTTATTGTTGTGTTCATGTGGATCATACAAATCTATTTGATGGATCAAAGAATATTACAACATTAAAAAAAAAAAAAGTAGTTAGTTTTCAAACCTAATGTTTCAAAAGCCAAGATAATTTCAGGCATGTGCGAGGGAGGAAAGGGGTAATGGACAAATTAGTTTAGGAATGTGAGAATACTTGCTTTCCTTAAATAAA